CGCCAAAACTTCCACAGAACCACGAGACACAGATGCGCGTGAAAGAGAGTTTGAATTTGCGAGGTTTTACGTGTACGAAGGACATTACTCTAAGATTTAAATTCGTAGCTTTCGTCGTTCCCGAAATAATTTTCCCTGCTAACAATTTCACGGAGTCGTACATAGTGCCCAGATGTAGGGGAAGGCTGAATTCAAACGTGCGGGGTCACATGTAGGTATGCAAATTTTCCGGAAATTTTGACTTCCTGGCCTTTGTGACTCTCGGACTGAAAGTTGCGAACAAAATGCACTCAGACATACACACACAAAAATACATACACAGATAGGCTCCCGATAAAATACGTTTTGTTTGCATAGCATAAAATGCGTAAAAATCAAATATGCGCTCTTTAGAGACAAATTTTATACTAAAGTTCGTAACTGAGCAAAAATAATGCGAAAAATAAGAGAAATGTGCGCGCTTTTAGTAATAGAATACGCGCCTATCTATCTGTTTGGAAAGAAAAATCTATGAGAATCAGGAAGTGTACGCGTAATACCTTTGGCGCACCATCTTTGGTTATTCCCACGTCTGCAGTTGCTACACCTTTCACACTTTCGTCGTCATGGAAGAGCACTTCTTGGGCTGCTATTCCTGGATAAACTTCCACGCCCATCTCTTCTGCTTTCTCCCCAAGCCACTTCACCAAATAACCCAATCTAAATTTTGCACTCTGGTAAAGACAACAGTTTTTTTCTTTTTTTTCTAATTTTTGAAGTTTTGTTTCAAATGCAAAAAAGCACAGGGCAGTGGAGAAGTCGACTGAACAATTCCACTCTAACCTGATAATGTAATTTCCCCTGTTTTCAAGCGGATTCCCACGTGTTAGCGGCAACGAATAGCGATTCTTCTTCGTCAAAAATGCCAAAGACTCCGACTGCAACGAACAGGAGAAATTTGCAGCATTCAAACCAATCACAACAGTTAAATGAAAAAGAAAAAGAATTTGCATTATAAAAAAAGATGAGGAAACTAGTGTATTTGATCAAAAAAAAGAAAACTAACGCAGGCCAACAGCAACTCATATGCCCTACATATGTTCAATATGCTGTCCTGCGCCCGTTTTTCCCTGCGAAACATTTTCTGAGCAGCGCCAGCGCCAAAACAAATCACAATTCATGCTTCTAACAGGGCTCAATTAGCATCGAACATCAAAAGCTCGTCCACATACACTTTGCATAATGGGGCGCCAAGTGCAGCTATGTGGTAGACAGAGAGCAATTCATTCTGCGGCATCTGCGTGAAGTCGCTG